GCGCTTTAATTTGACATCTAATTTTTGAAAATCAAGTGAACGGTACAGATCTTTTATGCTGCACAAAAAATCCCTTCGCGTATTATATACATACATACATAGATATGCAGCTTCTGCTGACTATAAATGTGTTGTTTTTAATACAATTCGTTAGTAAACAGTAACCATAGATATTAAAATTATGATGAAGTATTTTTGCAACGTAAACAATTTAAAAATCCAATGAAAAGAACTCGCAGGATTTAATAATTTAGCGATTAATTCAAGGATAATCGTAACAATACATACAGTGACGACATTTCAGCATTCTTTGGCTATTTCCCTTTCGTTTATTTAATTTTTATTATTTTTAAATGAAAGTGTAGCTCGTTATCTAAAGAAAACTATGTAAGTAAAAATTTCACACTTTTGGTTTAAACATTCTGAGTATCTGCATACCTGCAGCCCATTCAATTTCATTTTAACGAAGTGCAAATTTTATGTAGTACACTCAGAAAAAAGTCAGCCAAATATATTCCTCTCAACACATGATTTGGTAACTATAAACAAATAATGTAACTATAACCAAATCATGTGTTGATAAAAACATATTTAGTTGACGTAACTAAACTCTTTTCTCAGTGTAGTAATTGTTTGTGGAAAGCGTTGATGATTTTCTCCATATAAAAAAATTGTCGAACATACTTTGTTTGGAAGAAATTGCGTGAACAAAAAATTGCAAAAAATCAACGGTAAGTTCTAGCTACTTGAAACTTGCAGTTTATTATACTAAAATTTAAGAAGCTGCGTACTCAAAAAACCTTGCTAAAATATGTCTTCTCTACTTACGCCACCGTACATCAAAGAACCGAAACATGAGAACACATTTATGACGTGAACTCAGATGCATAAATATTTTAAAATTTAAAGGAATTAAAAAAAAAATAAAAAATAAATAACATGGAATGAAGTGCGGAAAAAGTAAAAGGAATCGGCTAAGAATCGGCCAAAAACGGCCGATGCCGATTAATTGGTCGGACCAGTGTTGGCAACTGTTGATTTTCAGAAAGCACCAAAAACTTGGAAAAAAGCGTTTTACCAAACTAAAAGCACCAATTTTTTTTTTTAATCAAAAGTTGCATTTTTCGTAACAGTTTGTATTTAACAAAAGCAAAAAATTAACAATATTTACAAGAATAGATACATATGTCAATACACAAAACGTTTTCGCTCATAACGATTGAATAGCCTCTACACATGCAATGATGACTCATGCTTACGACGTAATACCGAAGTACTATTAAAACTAGTATATCTCGAGAAAGAAAAGTCGAATCGCAACAAACGAAAATAGTGCCCTAAGTAGAAATGAACAAAGAATTTGATGCTCTCACTATATAACCTCAAATATCGCAAAAAACCGAGTTTTTGGCCATCTGGGGGTAGGATATCTAAAAATTCTAAATACTAGAGTAATTGTACGGCCACATTTGGATTCAGCACCAAGAAATGATAAGTTTTACTCAGGTGGCAAAAAAATAAAAATTTTCAACGCGAATAGAATTCAACAAGGTGGGTTTGCAACTTCAGCTTTATTAAAATCATGGTTGTATTTTAGTGCATTTAAACTTGTATATTCTTGTAAATTCCGCATCTTCATGAGACACCACAGCTTATTATATCTCAAATTACTTCAGGGTTTAACTATCTCGGTGTAATATTAGTTCAAAAAACGCACTAAAAAAGGCACTACGCACTAAGTAATTTCTTTGGGCGATTTAATTTTCAAAAAGCACTAAATCTAGTACTTAAAGCACCAAGTTGGCAACTATGGGTCGGACTCTACGGTCAGTCATGCGACAATTCGAACTAATTGAGAATTGCCTATATGGTACATGAAGAATGTGAATGTGATTTATATATATATATATATGCTCAGTATGTGTTAAAATCTCCCACGCTAATATTTAATTATATTTATTTAAAATGTCTTTTACGTTAAAGCGTGCGAGTAAACATGTTAGGTGACTGCATATGGTGCTATGAGGCGTATACGTTACATACGCAACTACGGGTATATGAGCAAGTGTGGTTATTTAACAAAATTTTTGTTTTAGTATACCTCAATTTTTTAAGTTTTTATTTAAATACAATTTTGCTATGGGACCTTTTATACAAAACTGAAGATAATGCATTTTCCAAGATAGGCGTAACGCCATTTTCGACCAGAAACACTTTATTGTCGAAAAATATAATAACTTGTGAGATTTGCTTATATGCTACTGCAAACCCGAAATAATCCCTACGCCCAATTGCACCTATAGCACTCGTACGGAGGCTACATGTCATATAAACTTTTTAATACACTCTATTCAATATTTTCCGCTGGGCTTTAATGATTTTTCATGCACAATTTCACAAATCTTTTGCAGTAAATTTTAGAAAGTTCTCTTTGTCGCTGCTTCTGTATGAAATTTGTTACAATAATTATGTTTGATGTTGGTTTTCGTTAAAAAAAGGAAAACCACTTTTCTCCTAAATTTATATAAACACGTACATATGTATGTATATAATTGCAAACAAAGAATGCACACACTTTCCAAATTTTTCTCCGTTCCCCAAAAGCAACAAAAGCAGAGCTTATTGGCCAACTCGTAAATTAGTAGGTGGATATGTGCATACGTATGTGTGTGTGTCTATACCCTGTAGTGAAACCGCGGACTAGTGAAACAAATTTCTAGTTCCATACTAGGTCTTTAACGCCAAAAAGGAACTAGGCCGATAGGAACTAGATCCCCACCAGCCCAAAATCGGCGAAAAGTGGTACTTTTAAGAAACTATTTTTTTCAGTTTTTTCACTAGAAATCTATATCTAAAGTGACGAATTTAGAAATGGTTCGGAACTATAGAAAAAGGGATGCAGAACGAACTAGATCCTATTTGTCGAATTTAGAACTATTTCGGAACTATCGAATAAGGGATGCAGCGGGGGGCTTGTTTACTTTACATAGATATGTGTTCGGCGGCTTTTTCGTTCAAATACGCTTCTATTCTGTGCTTCGCAGATGCTATTTCATAGTTTGGTAATACAAAACAAAGCTTTGTGTTAACATATTAACATCTTGGGGCCGTCTGGAATCTAACCAATAACAGCGAGCACCTCTGCAAAGTCAGCTACAGCCAAAGGTATCTAAACGTACATTTCTTACAATCATTCAAACAAATTTAATTTTAAATTTGAAAAACTGTTTCTTTGAAAATAATGTAAAATCGCACACGGAAGAACCGAAAAGAATGAAAAATCATGATACCTTTTTCTTTCGTCTGTCGATTTTAGAACTGGTTCGGAACTATAGAATTTAGGACTAGTTCGGAACTATCGAAAAAGGGATGCAGCGGGGGGCAATTGACACTTCCTAGGACATCGCCATGTTAAATTCGCCAGTTGCTTGCATGCAAAAGAGATTTATCGCGAACCAGTACTGGGTCTAAATGTACTTGAAGCGCCCCAGTTCAGAACTAGAGATTTTCCCCACAGGGTATTTTCGTGATCATATCCAACGTCTGACGTTGTTGTTGGTGGATAAACTCCTTCACTAGTTCAAAGTTATAGCTGCAAAGAGTGACGTGTGTGTCAATACGCGAGGTCTTTTTATACATATGTTGTCATGAGGTACTTTGTCTTATAGAGGACTTATTCCGCGATAGTTGGAGCAAACGGCGCTCAATGAGACTACATTGAACAAAAGTAGTAAAAGTTGATTAGCGAATTCTGAAAAAGCAATTACCCCGGGATTGTGATAACGAGATCCCGAAAATCCCCGGATCGTAAAAAGCGTAAAACTAACATACTATGATTGTGTGTCATTCGATCCTTTAATCCATTAAAGCTATGCGAAAGTACTGTATTTTAATCCTTATATCCGTATAGGTATTAGGGTAATCTTCATTTTAACAGTTTTAACTAAAATACATACATATGTACAACACAAAAAATTGAAATTCTTCTATATGCCTATGTATTTATTTACATAAATATGTACACCACTTCCAATTTTATTAACGCACCTGTATGTAAATAGAATGAGTGTACATATGTATGTATGTATTTGAAATTAATTTAATGGTGTTATTACATACATATTTGCATATGTACATGCATATGCATGTATGTATGTATGTAGGTATGTAAACGGTTCTCTTTCCACCTGTGTTATAAGACAGGTTCCACATAACGTCATCAGTGCATAATGTGCATATGTTTGCTTATTTGCATTGCGCATCAACTCACATAAATATAAGTATGTATGTATGTACTTTGTGCGTACATGTGTACCTTATGCCCAAGTCATAGCAAAAGATGCTAGTTAATTGGAAGCAGATACTTGCCAACAACACCAACCAGTCAAGAGATTGTGGAACGCAAGTAATTTGTGCTCTTAGAAATTTATCTAACGAATGGGTAAACCACAACAAATGCGGTGATGAAAATGGATAACTAGTAAGAGAGTGTCCATGAACGGGTTGCCATTGCAGGTTTAACACGTAAATACAGTTATTCATTAACTTAAAAACAATCGAAATAAAAGTGGTATAATCGACTGTAAAATAAGTCAATTTTGAATTATATTTCTAACGAGGTATTTTCAAATCTAAATGTACATGTGTACCAACATATTTATGCACACATGCAATTGATTTTTGCCATTACACTTAACTTCATGACTGACAAAAAGTACATAGTCCGTAGTACTAGTAGTCGGTTACCAAGAGATACGAATTTGTTAGTAACCAAATCAAACAGCTGAGCGCCAACTTTTTCGTCTGACAGTGGAGCAAACAAGTACATAAACAACGAGCCAACACACTCAAGCAAACATGGACTAACACAGTGCCGAAGTAAAGGCATCAAACGAGGGAGCGAGCACAACCGAATTGGCCAACGGTGGTAGCGATGGAACGAACGAGTGCGCGTACGAATGCGATGAAGTGTACCCGGTAGATGACTGTGTCGTTCACATTTGTAGGCTTGCACTCGCACTCGTTGTCACAAGCGCGCCATAGATACTTTATCCGTCGCAGTTTGGCGAACCGTCAGTCTAGTGTCAGATACGAAGTTATACAGCTCAGTGTGCGGAAGAAAATATTCATATTCTCACTTAGTTGATTATTATTAGAAAATTTCAAAATAATAACTACTATTTGAATGCCAGCAGAGTTGAATGAAAAAAAAATAATTATCTAATAAAAACAAACAAAAATTACAACAAGCACTAGAACCAAAGGGTGAAAATATTTTGAAAGAAAAAACAAAAAAACCGGAAGTTAAAAAGTGAAAAACCAAGATTAAAAAATAGCACCACAAAAGTGTAAAAATTTTTGCTAAACATACAAAAAATTACATAGTTATTAGCATAGCAAAAAAAAAACCTTAAAATATAAAATATTTTCTGTGTTTGCTGTTTACACTAAATAACTGTGTAGAATATACAAACATACATACACACATACTACAGTGTTAAACCAAAGTTGTCAGCAAAGAAGAAGTAAGCAAAATTGTTTATAACAACTAAAATAAAGTTTACAAGTCTTTTTGCTGTGTTACTTAAAATTAATTCCGCTGCAGTCATCATCTGCCGTGATTAATGCAAAATAAAATTCAATTCGAGCCAACATAAATTTGTACTGATTTCTTCAATTCCATGCGTGAAAATTTTTGATAAAATACCTGTGTGTTGCATGAAATGCGTTCAGTCTGATTCCATCGCAAAAGTCAAGGATTTAATGCTCCGTTTGTTACGCTAAAAAAAAAAATTATGCTTTTTATTCAAGAGCGCATAGTTTCATCCATCTAGCGGTGCGCTGCGTATTTAGCAAACCAATTTTATAATAACGGTACATTTCTTTAAGCTAAGCTCAAAAAGCAACCAACTTTGCTTTACAGCCACTCATGTGTGCGNGTATATGTAAAAAAAGAATTTTGGATACATTTGGATACATTTTTGGCTTGGTCAGTGATACATTTTCTTGAGACGGCGCGGCAACACTGATCATATCCCGTTCGCCTGCATTCGTCCAGTATAATCAATGTTGCCAACTTTTGAGTTTCAAAAGCACCAAACCTTGGAAAAGGAGCGTTTTAAAGCACTAAAAGCACTAATTTTTTTTTTTATCATAGGATACTCTTTTTTCATAACAGTTTGTGGTAAACAAAAGTAAAAAAATAAACACTTTACATGTATAAATAAATACACATTCATGCTTGCGAAGTAATACCGAAGTACTGCACATTAAAACTGGTACATCTGGAGAAGGAACAATCGAATCGCAACAAACGAAATTGAATTTTAAAGGGGAAGAGCAATATGTACTTAATGATACCCTAAGTAGAAATGAACTGGTGTAATCAATCAATAATCAAGAAAATAAAAAAATAAATACTTAACTTATCTGAATGCAAGAACGTGGGTTTGCAACTTCATCTTTTTATCAATCATGGTTTGGATTTTAGTGCATATAATTTGTAGATTCTTGTAAATTCAGAAATTTTAGTTCAGAAAAAAGCACTAAAAAGGGCACTAGGCACTAAACCATTTTTTTTT